TATACGAAAAAACGTTCACAAGAGCAACAGGATTGCTTTGTATCCCTTTTTGTTGTGGATTTCGTCGTCTTTCTCGCGGATTCCCTCTTCTCCGTTTCGTTCTTTTTCCCTGTAGCAGTATTCGTTACTCATGGCTCTGTTACCTCATCGTTCTCTTCATCGTGTATGCAGGTTGAACATTCCAAGAGCACGTTGAACTACTGCCGGTCACCATGCACTTCCACGTTGCCCCCACGTATCTGTATATAGTCTTGTCAGGTAAAATCTGCCCACTCGGACGCGTGTCTCCCTCTCTGTCCATTGATAAAACTAATACACGAGATTTAAGTGGCGCTTACAAAGTAGGCGTTCGTTTCGAGTTGCAATAAGCGCGTAACTCTCTTTAGTCATCGATAGTCATGTGATAGTCGCGGTTACATTATTCTGAGACAGCAATGAAACCACCTTCCAAACTTGATTGAATCTGATGTATTATCGCGGAGAGATGGCAAGGAGACCTAGATACAATGTCCAGTGATTCAAATGCTCTCGCATCCGGATATTCGAGATGTTATCTATCTATCTTTGGAACTAATAACTACAACTCGGCAAACAAGCATAGACTGTTTTAAAAGCATTGAGCAAGGTCGAAAGTAGTAACTAGCGTGTATCATAGATTCTCTGTATTCGATGGTTCGATCAGAGATCCTCTCGAGAAAGAGAATGAACGACAGTTCAGCAGTCGTGTGCGTTCACTAGTGAATTACCGAAACGATCGATGCATGCCTTGTGTTTGTGAACCTTTCATTTGAAAAATTTTGTCTCGCAAGAAGTTAAGTCCATACGTAACCTACTTTCCCGAGCGACTGCTACCCACAGATTTGATCTTCGTCAGACAACGGTTTTATTTTAATTTAGCTTCTTTTTTTTCTTTCTTTCTTTCTTTCTTTCTTTCTTTCTTTCTTTCTCTTTCCTTTCCGTTTGTCCAGCATATATATATCCTTCCTCTCTCTTTCGGGTAAGAATTCAAACCGTATTCTTGCCTCACCTTGACCAATCTCTTTTCTTACTTTTGTATGCGTGTTGAAAGCGATTATGCAGCCATTGAAGTTGTCCTTTCGATGAAAATACTTGATAATATTATATTTCGCAGACTGTTCGTTTCGTACCCGTTATTCGACGCTTGTTATCGTCATGTACAATGTGACATGCTTGCGAAAAATGGATTGGAGAAAACTTCGAATTTTTTTTTTTATAAAAATGATAGCATCTGATAAATCATAGTTTCAGCAATGTATCGATCTTAGTGTTGAAAGAGAGCTCACGTATTTTAATGTATTTAAAATGCTAATAGGGACGAGAACCTTTTAAATTTTTGCAGTCGATAATAAATTGATAGGTTATGATGTACTCGTGCATTTGTCTGATGATTTTGAAGTATTATAACTATTTTTAGTGATACATCAAGTAGACGTTGCCAGAAGAAGTTAGTGATATTCTATAAAGAAGTAAATGTATATTTTTAATTTCATTGTACTGGTAAAATATAAAAGATCACTATTGATTAAACATTTCTAAGACAAGTCTTCCGACTTGAAGATGAGTGATCAGTATCGTAAAAAATTCAAGATGTCGCACGACCAATCTAGATATCAGCTATATAATGCCATTGAAAAGCCGTGCCAAGGGAAGAACAAAATGACAAAAATTATAGTAGAGTTTAACAGTTTAATAATACTCAAAACCATAATTTAAAAATTACTAAACCTTGAACTATTATTATACTATAGTTATAGTGCACTATAACTAAGCTATAGCTATAGTGTGCTATAACTATTACTATGGTTATAATATACAGTCAATTACTATGATGATAGTACTTGTATTACAATTTGTTGATGCAACTGTACAATTGTATATGTTAGTTAGTTATTAAATATGTACCAGTGATATTGTAATAAAATATAAAAATCTGTCATGCTTTGTCAAACGATTACTATTCAACTATGTTACTATGCCAACCATGCACTGGTACATTAAAAATTAAACTATAACATTGAATTATGATTATCATAAATTTTAATTATTATAGATTCATACAACAACATAACTTCAAATCATATCAATTTGTATAGTAAACGTAATTGAATTTTTTTTATCGCCTTATATGTGGAAGTCTCGACTTAGAACACAAATGAATGTAGATCTACCATACTACTATACTACTAATAGTAGTATACGTTTGCATTCGATCGTTACACGAATCGATGCTAATGGAATGACTATATGATGTAACATCATGTGAATTGCTTAATCATATTTCTAAATTTCCAATTAT